AAGCCAGCACTGCCAAACCGATAAAAATTAGAATTTGAATCAGTTAGTACCGAGATAATTCCAGCACTATTTGACTGGCGAAATGCTAGACCAATACTGAATTCCTTATTCTCACGCATCCTCGATCTCTCGTCGGTAAAAAATTATCTCAGCCGGCATGATTCTGCTAGCGGCATTTTATATTGTAAATAAATGTGGTTGGATTTTGTTTATTCTAATGAAAGATTTTGAGACGCAGTTCTAAAGTGTTTCTCTTATTGTAGAATATTTGTAAGAAATAAATTAAATTAACAAAATGGAAGAAAAAAACGATACAACATAACCTCTGGCTCTTTTCATTTATTTCGTAGCGCTTCCACACTTGTTTCTCTATTAATCCAATTTATGTTAAGTACTCGATGGTAACATCAAATCTCGAAGCGTACAATGTTGTTTTCTTTTAGAGTCCAGGCCTCTACTGTACTTTCAGTAGTTTGATACTTTTTCAATTTAAGAGCCAGTTATACTAATTCGTGTTGGTTGTGTCATGTTATTACTGAAGACCATATACTTGGTTTTCTGAAGAATAATTTTCTTGTAGTGACTTGTCTACTGCTGTTCTTGTGACTAAAACTGTATCGTCTGCAATTCGAATATTCTTTACAACCTCCCCGTTGATTACAACTCCTTCTTCTGCTTCTAAAAGAGATTTCTGTTATATGCTTTCACTGTAAACATTAATAGCAATGGTGATAAAAGACAACCCTGTCGTACTCCTCTGCGTATTTCTATTTTTTGAGACGTTTCGTTTTTTATTTTGATATTAGTCTTCTTATTCCAATACAAATTCATAATTATTCGAGTGTCTCTCAGCTTATCATGACGTATCCTCTCAAATGCTGTTTTTAAATCCATAAAACAGGAAAGTGTTTCCCGATTTACATCTAGAGATCTTTGTGTCAGCAAGTTCAACTTATTTAAAGTTGACTTATTATCGAAAAACCAATGATATTTGTGGGAGATAATTTGGGAGCTTGAAAAATATACGTATTTTGGAACTCTTAACATTCTAAGGTATGCATAATAGTTTTGTAGATGAGTATGTCGGCACCAACAAATAATATTGAGTGCTTCGTACTGTTAGTAGTAGAGAGGGTAGTTTCTAAGGATTAAATAAGTTGCAAACAAAGAAATAATGTTTTATAATCAAGAACCATTTTTTTATTTAAATGCATAAGTTTAGAATTTTAATGTGTACACAATTATTTTTAACGTTGTAGTCATCTTTTCTGAGTGAATTTTTGTGGATAAAGAGTTTAAACTAAAGAAACATCGTTTCATAAGCGAGGAATGAATTTTTAGTTATCTGAATAGAAAATTAAAACATTTTAAACTCTAAATAGGCATTTTAAGTATTTTACTGAGTGGAGGGACGCTTTTTAAAGATTAAAAACTTGAAACCAATAAAACATCATTTTACAAGCCATGAATGAATTGTTATTGGTTTTCATATAATTCATTAGTTAAGCATTTTACATCGTAAAACATTATTTTTTAACGTTAATTAGGTACGTCATAAGCGATGGTTTCTAAAGGTTGAAAATTTATATTAAAGTACAATTATGTTTGTAGTAATGTACAAGTATCATTAAGTATGTTTATTTTACTTAATACAATCATATTTTAATGCATAAAACGCTTAAATACGCGATTTTTTGTTTTTTACACTTAGGGGTAGTCTTAACCCTTTAATACCAAAAAGCACACTTCGCCCACATTTAAATTTTGTAATCTTAAATGCAAATTTTCAGCTAAATCCATGCAGTCAGGATACATCCCTAGTGAACTAATAAAATACGGCACAGCAAAATTATATGAAAGCTTAGCCCAACTCTTCCAAAGTTGCATTAACGGAACGAAGATCCCAGAAGAATGGAAGACATTATTTAGATCTACCATTCACAAGAAAGACAAAAGGAGCGACAGTGGCAACTATAGAGGCATCGTTTAACTAATTTACAAAGTAGAATATACGGAAAAGTGATTAATGGTAGAATATGATATAAATACGAAAAACATATAGAAGCCGAAAAACAACGGGATTTAGGGCAAGTAGATCAACTATTGACCATTTATTATGTATTACACATATTATTGAAAAGAAAATTGCTATTAACCACGAAGTATATTTACCTACTTTATGTAGACTTGAAAAAGACATATGGCAGTATCCCACAAAATAAACTATGGAAAGCATCGGGGAAGGGTAAAAATTGGAATCAGGCTATCCAAAAGATTCCAAACCACCAACGGTCTTAACTTGGTGTCTTGTTCTGTTGCTCTCAGGTATCATCACCTAAGCCAACTTCTACTATATATAAGGTAAGTCAGGGTAAGAGCGAACGCATTTTTCTAGAGATAATGTTTCATGTCACTATTAAAACTGAAGTATGCATTCTAGAATAATCACAATTAGTATATAAAGTCATTAGAAGTTTCTAATAAGTACTTATTTAGTATTAGAATTATGCAAAAATTATCAAATACAATTTTTTTTCGTTACCTGATCAAAATATTCTCACTTGCCCCAGACTGTGGGGCAAGTGGGAATAGCATGTGGCTATTATATGTGTTGTATATTTCATTATGTATGGGGCAATTGCGAATAAGAAATACAAAATTTAGTGTCAGTAAAATTTATTTTTATAAAAAGTTCAAAATTTTTTGATGAGAACAAAATATAAAAGCAAAATTTCCTAGCATACGAAATTCAATAATTTTGAAAGATACACTGAACTGGAACGATTTTCCTCTTCTATTTTCTACAGGATCTGGCAATATCATGACAATATTTTCCCTGGAAACAGTGTCAGTGTCATCATTATCTGGCCAGTAAAATGTATAATTGTTATTCTTCTTTTTCGTGAATTTAACAATTGGATTGTTGTTTTCCTGTTCAAATACCACTATTGTTCCAATGAAGTGTTTCACAGATTTCTTTCCGGTATATTTCACTACAAGCCACTGTCCAGACTCAAAATCTTCCTTTAAATTTTCAATATTGTTGCCCATATCGTCATCTAGGATGTCCTCAACCAAATCATCTAGCGAATCATTATCCAAAGAATCATCATCTAACGGTGGATATATATCAGATAGCTCATCTAACGAATCATCATCTAACGGTGGATATATATCAGACTCGTCACTAGAACTGGAACGATGCTGTTTTCGTCGTCTAGATTTTATTTTCCGCTGATACTTGAAACCACTGGTGCTGGACACTGATTCAATACTATTGTTTGCTTTTTCTTGTAATTTTTTGTAATAATCATTATTGGTTATAATCTCGGCACCAGGAGTTACTCGTGTTTTCTTTACTGGTTCCAAACGTGGCATTGGTTTGACTGTTTTCAAAAGCAAGTCTTCAAAAGAAACCGATGGCCGTAAATCTTCTAGAGTGGCTTCCATATTTTCGTCACCTTGATTCGCAGTTTTGTTATTTATCTCCTTCCAACGTTTATAGACATCGGGGTGAAATTTATCTTCTTCTACAACGTCATTTTTGTATGGAAATATTCCCGCTTTCCCTAAATCCGCTTTGGATGATTTCTGGCTTTGTACCATACCACACGTCACGAACATGTTCAGAAAATGTGTTCCTTCGGCATTTTTATTCCTTGATTTCTTCGCTGCCAAGCCACCAATTTTTTGTCCCACTCAGTCTTAAAGGATTTAAACACGGACAAATCTAAGGGTTGTAGTAAATGCGATGTGTGTGGCGGCAACTTGAGAATGGTAATCTCATTTTCACGAGCTAATTCGATGACTCTTGTATTTACGTGAGTGCTGTGACCATCATATATCAATAATAGTGGTCTTTGTTGTCCCACAACATTCAAAAATGTATTTTTTAAGAAATTGACGAAAACGTCCGTTTCCGTCCAGCCGTTTGGAATAGCTGCATATGCTATATCAAGATTATCTGGGTCCTGTGTTGCCATCCACTGGTCCCATACGAACTTTCCTTTAAATACAATACATGGTGGTACTTTGTATCCAAATACATTTGCCGCAGAAAATATTGTTACATTCTCCTTACCTGTACCATTCGTAGTTCTCGAACACGGTTTACCTTTGGCTCCTAGCACCTTCACTCGGGATGGGTCAACGCATAAGCTGGTCTCGTCCAAATTCTTATCATTCTAGATTCTAATTCAACAAGAGTGTTCTTTAAGATCTCAAAATACTTATAAATGGGAAATGGATCACACATCTTCTTCATTGCGTACTTAACCGATTGGGGTTTCTTGAGAGATTACTTGTATCTTGCTTTAAAGCCGGTGAACATTATTTTTAAATGGCGTTCTTATATTATTTTGTGTAACAAACTCAAAGACATCTTTAAAAGCGATGTACCAATTTCTTTAAAACCTGTGATGACCTATGGTGCCGAAACTTTGACATTGACAGCTACAAGTTCTAAAACGCTGCAAATAGCTCAGAGGAAAATGGAAAGATCAATGCTGAGTATATCGCTTCGTGACCGAGTTTGAAATGAAGACTTAAGACGAAGAACAGGAGTTACCGATGTAATTTCCCGAATTGCCACACTAAAATGAAACTGGGCCGGACACGTCGCCCAAATCAGTGATGAAAGGTGGACGAAGAGATTGCTTGAGTGGAGGCCGAGATTAGACAAAAGAAGTAGAGGAGGACCTCCTACACGATGAACTGACGATCTCAAGAACATGTCAAGAAATTGGATGAAAAGTGCTTAAGACAGAGCACAATGGACAAAAATGACGGAGGCCTATGCCCAGCAGTGGACGCAAAGGGCTGGGTGATGATGATGATAAACAATGCTGCACAAAATGGGAAGAGACAGAGAACTTTTGACCACCATTAAAAGAAGAAAGACAGCATATTAACATAACAGGGGCCCATAAACAATAGCCCATGCAGGTGCTAAAGTTGGCATATAAAATATATGTAAAATGAAAATAGCATATGTAGTATACCTACCAGTAAATGTTACCGATTTAGCCAGCTTAACCAAAGCAATATCGTTCTTAAGTGTAAGAGTATCGTACTGTCCATGTATAAAATAAGTAAGCACTGGCACATCGACCGGTTCGTCTGAACAAATATAAGTACTATGTACTCTTTTGCAGTCAAGTTCTGTATTTAAGTTGAGTTCTCCAAAACGAACTTGGACACTAAAATAAAAAACATATGTCATGATATTGGAATGAGAATCAAACTCATGTCTTTATCATTAAACATTTTGTGTAAACATTTTTTTAGCGAATTCTGGTTAACACAGGTAAACATATCTTTTTTCTTTTTTTTTTCTTCTTTCTGAGGGTGGAAATTTCTAAAAACCGTACCAGGTTACCATCTCTAGGGATGGCTGGCGTATGTTGGATTCAGGGTAGAGGAGTACATCCGAGTCCACTTCCCCCTACACGAAGAAGGTCCGCAAACGGATGCCCTCCTGTTAACCTGCCTAGCAACTAAAATCACTCTTTAATACTTGTGCGCAGTTGACCGTCGCACTTACCGTACTCCGAAAGTGGAATGACCGCTGTAAGGCTGACGACACTTTCGGAGCACTCCTTTCTCTTATCTACATCTTATCTCTGTCGTTGGTCCAGTTGATGCTGCTACTGCTGCTCACAGTAACAGGGTTTATCCCTTTTTCTCGATATATTCTGTTTCTCTCCACTGTCCATCTATTGTGTGAGTAACAGTGTCAAGAGTATTCGCAGTATAGGTTTTGTTTTGTTTTTGTATCTGTCTTTATGAACCTATGAAGATATGCCCTAAACCACCCATGTCTTGTGAGCACTTGCGTCAGGAAGTAATTCAGTCACCTGTGATCACAGTCCATTATTCTTTTTTTATGGCTTTTGTCAAATGCTCTTTTCTTTCATAGAGATGTCTCCTTTCTACTGTTAACACATGAGGATGAACACGACCCGTGATAGTCTACAAGGCCGCCGCGGATACAGTCCTGCAGGCACATGCTACTCGCAAAAGACTTGTTTTATGTACTTGTAGTATGAGCTCTTTGTAGGCCGGTATCTCTACCGCCTCACTCAAGACAGGTGACGCGTAAAGCTCCTCCTCCTTTCTGATTTGGGCCCTCCAATGTTCGGCTTCACTCTCCCCATCTGAGCTGCACTCTTTGCTGCCTTCTGAGCTACCACCCGTATATGTTCCCCCTATCCGCCATATTGGTGTAGTGTTACACTCAGATATTTGACGCGTTTCTTTGATGTTTACCCTTTAGAATGATGAATTTCAGGACGTTGCCCGTATATCTTACCCGAAATAGGAGATCCGACTCATTCCGCGATATTATCAGCTCAGCGAGATCATCCGCCAAAGGGAAGGGCGGATGATTATGAACTGCATGAACCATGAACTGCAAATATGGAGAATACCTTCTCCATATTTGCAGTTCATGGTCCCGTCATATACTAGGTTCCATAGCGTCGGATCCAAGACCGATCCCTGTGAGATTTTAGCCGGTGCGTCAACGAGCGTGCCCTTCTCAACCATGATCTCTCTCTTGGAAAGATATTCCGCTATCGATATCCATATTCAGTACCATTCTTGGTTCTCAAACAACTAGCAAAACAATGCGAAGTTTTAAATTCCATAAAAATCAGGAAATTGGAATACTTGGGGCACATCATGTGAGTTGAAAAGTACGAACTACTAAGGAATATAATGCAGGGTAAAATCAAAAGTAGAAGAAGCGTAGGAAGACGTAAAATCTCATGGCTACGCAATCTCCTTAAATGGTTTGGATGCAGTTCAATTGAACTATTCAGGAGCGTAACCAACAAAATTATAATTGCCAGAAAGATTTCCAATCTCCGATAGGAGTGAAACTTGAAGAAGAAGAAGTCCATCCTTGATATCCTTCATGACTCAGGAAATGTATGTACTTCAAGCAATGCATTCATGTACTCCAAAAGCCAACTAGGTGCCGCGCGCCCTATCAAGCTTCGGGCGGATAAAAAAATGGGATCAGAGGTACTACCAAATATAGAGGAATTCGAAATAGAAAGAGGTTTAAACGAGTTGACATGTTTCGTTGTACAGCAGTTTTCTCAACTCTGCCTGGAACAGTTGATGGGTGGATTAAGTAGCTCATCAGCTGTCACTGCCGGTCCCAAGTCTGTATAAAGAAGAAGGGTAGCAGGGTTAGGTTAGCAGTGCGCCATACATAAAAAATTAACAAATGCTTAAAGTACCGGTGAACAGCCTCATAACGGGATCAAAAACGTGATAACAACAAAGTCGAGAAAAACGATGGCGAACTGAAGAAATATACTAAGAGTGGCTACTTAAAATAAAAAACGGTTTAATAACAAAGATCAGGAAATAGAAAAGGAATTGAAAGAACATCAAAAGGACATATGCAGCCTGCATGAAACATAGAGTAAAATTAAAGAACAAATGGTGATGGGAGGATATTTACCAATATATAGTCGGGTTCCAAAACAATGGAGAGCAAAGGAAGGTGTATCAAAGAAAATAATCAAAATAAAATATACAGATTAAATAAAAGATTGCCGGTATATACCACAAAGAATACTTTTTTTTTGAAAGTTAACGGCGAAATGCAAAATTATAAACCTAATAGTGATGCAAACCTGAAAAAGGAATGGTGGATGACTCAAGACTCAATAAATAAATAAATAAAAACGAAAATATCGAAAATGGAAACAATGCAGAAACAAGCTGGCGAAAATTTAAGAAAAATATTCTGAAGGTTGTCCGAAACGAATTTGGAATGAGAATAATAAACAAAAATAAAAAAAGACTAAAAAAATACCACCAGGCGTGGCGTCAGGCAGGGATCGGTTCTGTCACCGATATCATTTATTATCTTCTCTGAATCAGTGTTTGAAATTGAGTTAAACAATCCTAGCAGAGGTGCTAAAATCGGTGGTGAAATTATTAATAGCTTCAGATACTCAGAATGGCAGAAAGATTAGAAGACCTTTAAACTCTGTCAAACGAAGTAATAATAAATGCAATGAATGGGGCTTAATCATCAACGCAAAGAAAACGAAATGGTTGGTGGTAGGAAAAATTAATATTGAAGACTCGGTACTAAAATTATATAATTAAAAGAAATTGATTTTGAAGCATTAATAATTTTCAATAGTAAAAAAATGTACTTACAGTTGATGATTAGGACCTACTCCTAAACAATGAGCAGCAGTAAGAACAAATGTTTCAGTAATTAGGGTTCCTCCACATAAATATTCAATAAAGTTTAGTTGATTTTCTAAAAAAAACTATTCTATTAAGATATTAAATAATTATTTAATTATTTTTTATTTTTAATTAATAATTTATTAATAATTTTATTAATTAATTAATTATACCTATTGATAAATTAATTAATAATTTATTTTGTTTAAAATAATAAACTTTTACGATATAAAATTGTAATGAACGACATGAACGTTATGTTTTTAAATTGAAGTGAAATATATACACATACATTTACATCGGCAAGTGACAAAAAGTCGTTAAGAATACAATCATTTATGAAGGTACCTATAAAACAACTGGTTTTTGTCGACTAGGTTATAATAGCTGGTAGATTATTCTCTCTCTCTCTCTCTATCTCTCTCTCCCTCTATCTCTGTCTATCTCTCTCTTAATCTGTCTCAAGACTATCTGACCATCTGACGTACAGCAAGCATGCCGTTGTGGATAATTATTGTAACATGATGTGGATTTATACCTAAACCTGGCAAAGTTGGATAGGAGAAGGCTAAGTTTCTGAGGCCGAAAAGTCTGATGTCATTCCATTCAACTGGAGACTCTAGAAAAACTACTTGATAGACATAATATTGATGATGTATTAGTTGAAAGTCCGATACATCAGGGCCAATATGCGTATCGCGTAGGAGTCTCTACAGAAACGGCACTGCACCATCTCGTTCAGAAGGTGGAGTGCGTTTTGAAAAACCAACAGATGATGTTGGGTGCATTTCTCGATTTAAAGCGAGCATTTGACAACACCTTTTACTTAGCAATAATAAGGGCGATTCGTCTAAAAGGAATAGACAAAACAAGATGCAGATTGATGGACTGCATGCTGAGGAGCCGTGTCATATACGAGTGACACGAATAACCGAATAACCGAATAAACGAATACCCAAGAGAGCGTAAACTACGTTAATGATAGCCAGACGCACTCATGGAAAAATGTGGGGTTTAAAACCAGACATTTAAAGGTGTAGCAAAAAGTGTTATCCTCAAACTGAGCAAGGTGCAACGATTTGCTTGCCTAGGAATCGGAGGAACTATGTGGACCACATCAATGGCAGCTACAGACGCCCTACTGGATCTCCCTCTTGCACATATATAAGTGCAAGGTGAGGATGGTATATTACAGACTGCGAGAAAACCTGACTAACGTACTGGTTAGATCAGGACATAGTAACATCAAAAGAATGATGATTTCTAACTATATCGTACCCATATGCCCAAGTTACCTTTCCAAGTAGAGGTGAGCCCAAGAGAGGAATAGGAGTGAGAAAACCCTCGACTAAGACTGTAGGATGATCTGGTACATAGACGGGTCTAAAACTGCAGATGGATCGAGCGCAGAAATAATCGGTAGTGATGGACCTTTAAACATTTTTATTCCACTAGAAAGAATCATGTGCTACTTCAGTGCTACAGCTCTAGTTGAGCCTCGACCTTCCCCACTAGAATATACCTCTGTATTTTTGCAATCTTGTAGTGTCCAAGACGACACTGCGATCTTAGCAGAAAATATTGAAGATCTTCAGAAAAAAGAATCTTTAAAGAAATAACGAGAATATTCTAATAAAAGGAACCAACGTCGAAGAAGTGGAACAATATGCATATCTGGGAACAATAATTAAGTCCACAAATGATTACATTCAGAAGATCAAAATCAGAATAGAAGAGGCTAGAGCAAATTTCAACAAAATGAGAAGAGTGCTATGTACAAGGGATATAAAATTGGAACTAAGAGTTAGGTTGGCGAGGTGATATGTTTTTTCGACTTTGTTTTATGGAATGAAATCTTGGACCTTGAATGCGACATCAAAGAAAAAGCTGGAATCATTCTAGCTGTGCGTGTATAGAAGAATTCTGAAAACATCGCGGATACAACATGTCACAAACAAAGAGATTCTGAGAAGGATGAATAAAGAAATATAAATTTTAAATACAATTAAAACAAGAAAATTGAAATATCTCGGACCTATTACACGTGAAGAGAAATACACCTTACTCCAACTGATTATGCATTTACAGATCCAAGGAAAAAGAAGCGGTGTAGAATGTCATGGCTGCGCAACCTGCGAGAGTGGTACGGATGTACATGAAATGAACTTTTCAAAGTAGCCGTCTCAAAAGTCAGAATAGCTATGATGATTGCCGACCAGATGGCACTTGAAGAAAAAGAAGTGTCTAAGAGAAATAATTAACATGAGAATTTTCGAATTGAGGCCAATCAATACATGCACATATAGCCAAGCAGCCATGGAAGCACTCATAAGCCCTAAAGTGGAGTCTAGGCTAGTGTGAGAATGCCGAGAGAAACTCGACAGATTGACGGAACATCACAGTGTCACATTGGTATGGGATCCAGGTTACCGGGGAATATACGGCAATGAAAGAGCTAGTAAAATATATGTTCAGCGGACATGAGCTAACAGGGCTAAAGTACTGCGGAAAGCAAGCAGGAATCCGCTCAGAGTCATAACAGGATGCCTTACTGGACATTCGCAAGTCAAGGGAGACCTGCATACAATGGGAATGTTTCTTGGAGACTTGACCTAAAGACTCTGTAGCAGAGAACCTGAAACAGTCAATCATATCTTGCACGACTACGACGTATTAGATCGCACACGGCAAATACTTTTTGGAGCTAACAAAATGACTTCAACAATATATGGTACCAATCCACAGAATCTGTATAGGCTGGTAGAGTGTTACAAAATCCTGGAATGGGTATCATGATGGAATGGAATAAATACAATAAATCGATGCAGTACGACCGGTTTATAATAGCCGACTTCTGACAACATTTTTTCTAAATTACATTTTCTGGTAAGATGATTTTATTTTTAACCTATGGACGAACCGATAAGGTATATAGAGACATGTTAATTAAAAGATTCACTCTCTCACTTATTCACCTACATACATAACAAAGTCACCAGATATCAACTACACTAGTTATATAGTTAGTTATAGTTCCTATATATGCAATATTAAAAGAGTAAAATTAATTTTGTACTTACGTTGGTAACCAAGTAAGGCCATCCAAGGAAACTGTCCCAAATCTGCAGTTTCACCACCTAAAATCAACTTAAAATTATTTCCATTTGCTAACCTCAAATATACTAAAAAACTACTAGTATAAGTGTAGGTAACATTGTTAGTCAGTGGATGATGATTTTAACATACCTAATTAACCTTTCTATTTTGCAGTCATGACACATACTTTGCTTTTGGTAGTTTGATTACAAAACATACATATAGTATGTAGTTCTATTTAATTATCGGATTGACCTCAAGGAGACTTGACAACATATATTTTTAGGTAGATTCTAAGTTTAGCGATAAGTCAGAAAGTGTTTGTTAACATAAAATAAAATTAAATAACATAAAAAATATAAAATTAAATTAAATTTAAATAAAATAAAATAAAAAAAACAAAGTTAAATTAAATAAATTAAAATAAAATAAAATAAAATAAACTACAATTAAAATAAAATTAAACGGAGTAAAATAGAATAATTATTTAATAACTCTTTTTCTATATAAAGTAATGATAAACTATTAATTTTTTCTTGGCCTAACGTGGATCTTTTTTTTTATTCTGACCATTACTGAGAACAATATTTCACCTATTGCATTGCTTATTGGAAGAGGGAAGAGGCTAATAAATTCTCAAATTGTATTTAAATTTGGGAATGTTGCAATAATAAATTTTCCTGAATAAATGACCTCATGAATATAGGCGAAGTAATATTTTCTTTACTTAGATCTTTAATTCTAATAATTAATTTTTCAGTTCTGCTAGGTTTAAATCTTGTTCATACCATTTAAATTTCTCTATTGAAGAGTTACTTACATCAATATCATAAAAAATTGTTTTGAATTTATTGTTAATCGTTTCAAATCTTTCAAATCGTTTAAACCGTTCAAATCTTTTGGTAATGTTTCTAACTTGATTAAAAAAATCGTTTACAAAAAAAAATATTAACTTTAAAATATTCTTACTACAGAATCGTATTTTATGTTTTGGAATTTCATTATGAAATAGTATTAATAATTTCTGCCGTTTTTTATCATTCGTATATGCAAAATCTTTTTAAGTTTTTCTGCTTTTTCTAAATTGTCAAAATCATCACATTGTATGAAATCTATCAATAAATAATATATTAAAACTGCTGTATTTAGGGGTTCATCCTTTTGTTGAACAGTGTTTTTTGAAACATTTAATATCTTTAAAATCTTTTCCCATATAGTAAGTAACAATACATACTCAAATGTATCAAGTTATTTCTTCCAGTAACAAAAGCGTCAGTTACCAAGAAAGTTTCGATTCACCAGAAGATTTTGACGATGTAGAATCCAATCCACCCCAAGTTTCAAAAGGGGACTATGCTATTGCAAAAGTTTATGGCAAGACTAATGCAACCTGTAGGCATTATGGGGTTCACATTGATGACAATTTGTTAAACGGCTATGATGTTAGTGTTATGAAACGCCATAACCAAACACGATATTTCTTAGAAGGCGACCCCGGTTTTGTTCCTATTGATGGTATTATTTACAAACTGCCTTTGCCAATAAAAAGTAGCAGTGCCAGGTTTGCTAACATGATTTCTTTTAACATAGACTTTGATGAATTTGACTTTACTTTATATTAGATATATAGCAATATAGAGTTATTAAGAAAATTTCCTATTTTCTTTACCAATTTTTTTTGGTATATCATACTGTCCAGTTAGCCCACTTCCATGTTCCAGTTAACCTACTAGGTAGGTTCATCATCAATCAGCCAATCGCGTCCACTGCTGGACATAGGCCTCCCTCAGTTCTTTCCAGTGTTCTCTACACTGGGCCGCTTGTAGCCAGTTTCCCGCTACACGTTTAATGTCATCGGTCCATCTAGTCGGTGGTCGTCCTCGGTTTCTTTTATAATTTCTGGGCCTCCATTCCATAATACGTCTTGTCCACCGTCCATCTTGTGTTCTGGCTAAGTGCCCTGCCCAGTTCCACTTAAGCGTCGTGGTTCTTTCGATGACGTCTTGAACTCCTGATCTTCGCCTGATTTGTTGGTTTGTTATGTGGTCTCGAAGGCTCACATTTAGCATTGCACGTTCCATGGCTCGTTGTGTAACTCTAAGTTTATTCGCAGATTTTTGCGTGAGTGTTAAAGTCTCTGCTCCATAAGTTTGTACAGGTAAAACACATTGGTTATAAACCTCTCGTTTGAGACACATTAGAATTGAACTTTTTAGAATATGGCTTAATTTGCCAAATGCTGCCCATGTTAGACCTATTCGCCTCTGTATTTCATGTGTTTGATTGTCTCTGCTTATTTTGATTTCGTGTCCCAGATATTTGTAAGTGTCTGTTTGTTGTATGGTATTATTGTCAATAGTTATATTTCCACTCATTACGAGATTTGTTATAATTTTAGTTTTCTCAAAGTTTATCTTTAATCCTGCTCTTTCAGACAGACTTTTAAGCGAATGCATCATAGAAACTGTATCATGTAAGTTATCTGCGATTAATACAACATCATCTGCAAACCTTAGGTGATTTAATATTTCTCCATCTATATTGATGCCCATATCTTGCCATTGAGTACCCTTAAATATTGACTCTAGAGCTGCCGTGAACAATTTTGGTGAAATATTGTCTCCTTGTCTAACTCCTCGACCTAAGCTGAATTTTTCTGTGTCTTCGTGCAGTCGTATACTTGATGTAGCGTTCTGATAGATGTTTTTGATTATTGTCGTGTACCTGTAATCTATTCGGCTTTGATTTAGGGCTTCCAGTATTGTTTCAAACTCTACAGAATCAAAAGCCTTCTCGTAATCGACAAATGCAAGAACCAGTGGTATGTTGTACTCGATGCACTTTTCTATTAAGATCTTTATGGTATGCAAATGGTCATTTGTGCCATATCCTGCCCTGAAGCCTGCCTGTTTTTTGGGCTGAAAGAAATCAAGTTTAGGTGTTAGCCTCTTTGTTAAGATTTTCATAAAGAGTTTGGACATATGTGTCAAGAGGCTGATGGGTCTATAATTTTCTAATTTAGTAATATCGCCTTTTTTGTGTAACAAGACTATTACTGCATTGTTCCAGTCTTTTGGAATCGTACCCGCATGTAAGCATTTAGTAAACAGTTCGCTTACTGATTTTAATAAAATTTCTCCACCTGCTTTTATTGCCTCGATAACGAGTCCATCATCACCAGGCGATCGATGGTTCTTCATTTCCTTTAAAGCTGCTCTTACTTCTGACACAGTAATGGGTAAAAGTATTTCCGATCCCTGATTTATGAGAGTCTTTACTAGTGTCGGGAAATTGTCTTGTGGTCTTTGGCTCGTATAGAGGTCTTTATAAAATTCTCTAGTTATTTTCAGAATGTTTTGTTTATCTGTTGTTGCCTTTCCGTCTTTATCTCTCAGCTTGTATATTTCTTTTTTACTATGCGTAAGTTTTCTTTTCATTATCATTAAACCTTTGTTCTCTTCTACTCTTTGAGTAATTACATTAGTATTATATCTTCTTACATCTTTTCTAATTTCCGCTGAAATTCTTTTATTTAGTTTTTTATATTCGTCTTTGTTTCCCTTTTCGTTCTCGCTTAGGTTTCGTCGTATTTCCATGAGAGCCCTTGTATCTTTGCTAATCTTTTCACTTTTGTTGTCATTTTTCTTGCAAAATTTGAGTTGTGCGTTTCTAACTGAGTCTGTTATTAATTTATTGTGATCGTCGATACTTAGAGCTTTGGGATTATTACTCTGTAAAGTTTCGTTTCGAAAACCTAGGTAGGTTAACTGGTCAAAATTGCAGATTATTACGAAAATCATCCCCGCCTATTCCTATAGATATTTATTGAACTTCAAAAACCGTATCAAATGGTTAGTCAAATAACAACGAGACACAGGATAAATATTGGCTTATTTTGAACCAGACACTAAGTAAATATATTTTTTTTTTTTCAAAAGATGTCCAGTTAACCTCACTCTACCCTACCACTTGGAAGAACATAGCGAATAATGACAGATATCTGATGCTATGCGAGATAGATCAAGTGTTGAATCAATAATTAAAGAGTAAAATTTGGCTTCCTTTTATAAGGTAAAATAAATTCATCACATAGTATAGGGACAAAACGTTTATTGTACCAATGTTGCAGTTTGATCGAACCCGATAAATATTTTAAAGGGCCTATATAATTACCATTATGTTCTCTAAAAACACTTCATGTTTACCATGAAACACTAACAAGTATAAAGATATAAAATTGATTGTCATTACCATTCGTTCAAGTACTAGAATCTACCATTAAGTACTAGATTCCATCTATATATTTTTTCATTTATTATTTTTAAACACGAGCATAGTAAATAGGGATGGCAACGATGTATCCATACATTAAATATATCGATATCGCCCATACAAAATTAAAACAGCATATTGGCACAATATATTTAATATAATCCAGAATATATTACATACTATAAAACGTTGTCTCTACATTTCAGCCTCCTTGTCGAGGTCAATCTCCACTTCAAATTATGTTATATGATATATGTTTATAATAAATATTCAGTTACTTTCCTATCTTTATTTCGCTTATTATTTTATAGATATCTGGGCACAGTGATATTGATGTAAAATTTTTTAGCCATCGCAATAGTTAAGGCAATCAAAGAATCGGGAATCGGCATAATTTGAATGTTTCCAGCAATAATTATTAATATCACGTTTTTCCGTTAAATATAAATGTAAATGAATTATAAAAATTTAAATTATAATTTTCGGGCCCTTCTCAGTAAGCACAAGTACGTACATAAGACAAACTAAGTACGTACTGATGGGACATAAAGTGTGTACAATGTACGTACTTTGCTGTACGAAGTACGTACTTAATACGTGCATAAGACGTACATTTTCCAATTAATGGTACATACCTAGTTCATCACTACCCAGAACCAGGGGGTCTGGGGGTAGTGATGCGTCTCAAACAGCCTCTCCTACTCAAATGTCAACCTCACCTTCACGTTGGTGAACCCTGTTATCACAAACGAGGCTCTGACGACCGAGTATCAGCGGTATAACTGTAACATCCGGAATTAAGGAAATGTAATTCCATTACCAAACTCACCAACACGTTTTGGCAAGCGTGGTGTTTTAATCGTCAAAAAACCCTCAATGAAATGTCAAGGTTCAAAACTAGAATACCCCAGGCAAGTAGAACTATTCGTTCAGAATCTTGCACCGAGAACAACTTGGTCAGTCCCAAGGATTCTGGGGGGGGGGGGGGGCAGAAAATTGACGTATCAAAACTTCCACACACATAGAAAACACATCAGACTATTTAAACTACTAACATACAATGTAAGAACACTATCAACAGACGATAAACTCCTAGAACTCGAAGAAGAGCTGAGTAGTATACAATGGAACATAATAGGACTTTGCGAAATTAGACGGAAGCGTGAAGAACAACTTCTAACCTTGAATTCAGGTCACATGCTATACACAAATGGCAACTTGAAAAACTCAAATGGTGGCATTGGTCTGCTCATCCATAAAAAACATGTACACAGTATATTGGATATTAAGCAAATATCAGAGAGAGTGATATACATAATAATTTCACTGAATAATATATACAAAATGAAAGTTGTACAATGTTATGCTCCAACATCAGCACATGAAGAAGAAGAAATCGAAAACTTCTATGAAGATTTAACAACAGCATTATCGGAAACAAAATGTCATTTTACTTTTCTTATGGCGGATTTCAATGCCAAGGAAGGAACTCAAATTGATGATGCAGAGACGGCAATAGGAAAACACGGTTTAGAAGGTCGAAATGAGAGAGGCCAGACACTATTAAATTTTCTTCATAACTATCAGTTATATTTGATGAATAGCTTTTTCCAAAAGAAGCCACATAGACGATGGACATGGGTAAGCCCAAATGGAAACGTAAAAAATTAAATAGATTTCTTCATAACAACACATAAAAGATATGTCAAAGATGTCACAGTATTAAATCAGTTTGGCATTGGTAGCGATCATCGAGCAGTGAGAGCTAAAATACAGTTAAACTTAAAAAATGAAAGAACAAGATTAATAAAGAGAAGAGAATTGAAAAATGGAGTACACCAGAAAACACAGAAGAATATGTGAAAGCTATAAATCGGGCCTTAAACCCCCCTCTTTCGACAGATGTTGAAACTGTAAATAATGCAATCACAGAAGCGTTAATGACTGCACAAAAACAGTACTGTGCTAGACCAGCCGGAAAAGAAGAGAAACTCAGCGAAAACACCAGAAAGCTCATTAAAGAAAGAAAAATTAAGAGATCAGAGCAGAAAGGCGACTAAGCTGAACTCAGAAATCTGAACAGAGATATCTCAAAAGCAATTCGTAAAGATCAGAGGAAGTATAATACTGAGAAAATACAAAATGTGATTGAGCAAAATGGAAATATGAAAATACTCAGAAGAACGCTTTGTGATGGTAAAAAGGAAATTGTTAAACTAAAGGACAAAGAAGGTAATATAACAACAAATAGGGAGAGAATAGTAGACATAGCAAAAAGCTTCTATGAAGAATTATACAAAAGCCAGTTAACAGAAGAAGACAAAACACAAATTAGAGAACGCAGTGTAATGAACCAAGGATCCGAACTTCTGCCTACCATAACGATAGAAGAAGTGAAACGAACTCTAAAGGAAATGAAAAACAACAAGGCTCCGGGAGATGACCAAATAGTAATAGAAGCTGTTAAAGTAGGAGGCAAGAAACTGCTGGAAGTAGTAACTGAACTATTCAACCTATGTCTAAACCAAGTCCCTATTGTCCCTACAAAATGGAACAACGCAATTACTATCCTAATACACAAAAAAGGAGATATATCAGACCTAGAGAATTATAGACCGATAAGTCTGTTGTCTCATCTCTACAAATGGTTTACCAAGATCATCACAAAACGTTTAGAACGAAAATTATATTTCTATCAGTCTAAGGAGCAAGCTGGGTTTAGGAAAGGTTATGGAACAAATGACCACCTACAAGCACTTAAAATACTAATTGAAAAATGTGCTGAATATAATAAACCACTCACGTTGATTTTCATAGACTTCAAGAAAGCTTTTGATACCGTGGAATTACCGGCAGTATTAGGAGCATTAGAACAAAGTCGAGTAGACTATAGATATACAAATTTGATAAAACATATATACAACAACGCAACAGCATCTGTTAAACTCCATGACTTTACCGATAAATATAGAATTAAGCGAGGAATTAGACAGGGCGACACCATCTCCCCCCAACTATTCACTGCAGCTCTGGAATATGCCTTTAAAAACTAGATTGGGCTAAAAGGGGAATAAATATTGATGGTGAATACTTAAGCCACTTGCGTTTTGCAGATGATAGGCTATAGATATACAAATTTGATAAAACATATATACAACAACGCAACAGCATCTGTTAAACTCCATGACTTTACCGATAAATATAGAATTGAGCGAGGAATTAGACAGGGCGACACCATCTCCCCCCAACTATTCACTGCAGCTCTGTATAATGCCTTTAAAAACTAGATTGGGCTAAAAGGGGAATAAATATTGATGGTGAATACTTAAGCCACTTGCGTTTTGCAGATGATATTGTCAAGAGTTTAAATGAAGCTCACAAAATGATGGAAGAACTAAAACAGGCAATAGAACAAATAGGCCTGAACATAAACTTTGAAAAAACAAAATACATGACCAATTTAGTTCCAAGTGATGTTATGAGGGTAGATGGGAACGAAGTACATCAGGTCTTTAGCTATATCTATTTAGGGCATGAAATTAGAATAGGAAAAGACAATCAAACTTGTGAGATCCAGCGTCGCATAGGCTTGGGATGGGCAGCATTTGGCAAGATGCGAGATATTCTAAAAGGAACGCTACCGATTTGCTTGAATAAAAAGGTTTACAACCAATGCATACTGCCAGTAATAACATATGGTTCCGAAACAATAACTTTAACCAAACATTCTGCAAATAAATTAAGAGTAACCCAAAGAAAAATGGAAAGAGCAATGTTGGGAATAACTAGAAGAGATATGGTACCAAATAGGATAGTGAGAGAGAGGACTAAAGTGACAGATGTCATAGAAAATATTGTACAAGCCAAATGGAGATGGGCTGGACATATAGCACGTTTAAATGATAATAGGTGGACCAAAAGACTCATAGAATGGAGACCTAGAGAAGACCTTATTTCATTAAAGTAGGACTTTACAGAAGCTATCAGTTCCATAGCGGCTGCAATATCAAAATCTTCTTTTTGTAGCAGTTTACTGATTACATTTATCCTCGAGAGAATTGTATTCCAAACCACCAGACAGCAAATAAATTTGAAGTTCTTCAGCTTCTTAGCCAGACCTAAGGCTGTACTTTTAGCATAAGCATCACCTGATGGGTCAGTGGATAATTCAAGAAGTGTATCATAGATTTCACCAGCTTGGTAACGTACAGGTCCGATCGCGTCAATGCGACTTTCCCATCTTGTGTCGCTGAGTGGTTTCACAGTCAGAGCAGATACATGTTTTTTTAGAACAGTCCATCGATGGGTAGAGGCAGACAAATAGTTATACATTTCTTGTAAAACCATGAAAAAGTTTACAGCATCGGTACAAGACAACGCTGAGTCATTGACGACCAGGTTAAGAGTGTGTGCGCTACAAGGGACAAAAAATGCGCGAGGATTGATGTCCAAAATTCTTTTTTGAACCCCAGCGTTTTTCCCTCTCATATTTAATCCATTATCGTACCCTTGTCCTCGCATGTTCCCTATTGGCAGGTTCATTTCGTTCAGTTTGGACAGGAGAACGTCAGTTAGTGCTTCACCTGTTGAAGACTCAATCGGTATAAAGCACAAAAAACGTTCTTTTACCTCTGGGTATTTTCCTTCGTCACATAGCACATAACGCAATACCAAAGTCATCTGCTCCGTTCGGCTTACGTCTGGTGTGCAATCTAAAATTACCGAATAGTACTTAGATTTTTGCATCTCGCTCAGAATCTGGTCACGAATCAACGAGCCTAACAGTTCTATAATCTCATTTTGGATATTTTTCCCTAAATAGTGAACATAGGATTCCTTGCATGTAATTTTCCTCATGTGTTCTGCGATCACAGGATCAAATTTTCCAACAAACTCAACAAGTTTTAAGAAGTTTCCATTTTCTCTAACGTACAGTTGGTCTGACGATCCCCGAAAAGCTAAGTTCTGCGAGCCAAAAAATTGTATAAAAATGATTATACGTTTTAGTACCTCTTGCCATCGTGGCCGGGCCACCTTCTTATCACTACATTTTTGACTAAAAAACACTCGACTGAATAAGATAACAGAAAACCACACTATAAGCACCACCAAAAATAAGTACAAAAAAACTAAATGAAACTGTCTTGCAATGAATTATCACATTAACTGTACTCGAGGTGGACAATTCCTAACCAAATAAATTAGGTTAGGTTAACATAACCTAACATAATAAATATGCTTTAGCTTTTCTTTCTCATGGTACATACTTAAGACGTAATAGAAAGTACTCTTCTGTACGCACTAGTATGTACCACAGTGTACGTAATTAAAACGCACATTTTATATGTACGTACAGTACCAAAATTGTACGTACTCAAAATGTACTGTGCTGTTTGGGTACGCATGTGCCCAATTTGCCTAGGCCTTAGTCCTCCCCGACTCAAACCAAAATATAGGATGTAAGTGCCCGCATACGGTCTAGAATTCCGGGTCCGCTTTTTTCAGTTTGACAATTAAATAATTTTAATTTTCTATTTTTTTTGTTTATTGTGCCTTATCTTTATTGATTATATTAACTATGAAAATAGAAACACAAACAACTTTTAAATAATTTTGTTGATACAAAATAAACAAACTTTATAGGGACGTATTTCTCTTCATGATGATGCTTTAATGCAATAAAAAAGGGAATGTTTCACCAACAAAAAGCTAAAACAAAGAAATAAAAACATATTTGTCGTAAAATGCCACAAAACCTTAATATATATTGTTATCGTAAATTTTCGACACATGCAGCACACTAGCAAATATGTGTTGTTAACATAGATATATTCCACAATGATGACAAAAGTATTTCGTTTTTCTGTTCTTTTCCTAATCACAGATATTACAGCGACCAATGACACCGAGCACCTTCTATGATGGTCCTTGTTTTGGTTGAAAACCACAGATTTCTTGCATCCTCAGCCTAATAGTCCTCGGTAAATTGATGGAAATAGCACTATCTCTTTGATATTCATTTACAAGGGATATTGATAGCATTAGCAGAGATTCTTTATATGCTGTTGAGGAACCAGGATTATTACCATTTTAAATTACAAAAGCGTTTATAGCAGCCACATTTACCATGTAATAAAAAGGTACCATTGGCCATCGTCGAATAGTACAATCACAATTATATTGAGCGCATAATTTATGTACTACATCTACGGCCCTTTGGTTCCATTGTACGACAAAATCATTTTTGGTTTTCCAGATGTAGGGACAATGTCATCTCCATAGTGCATAGTAGATATTAGTACATTGAGATTTTTCTTAGTATGTAAGAGTATGTAAGAAGAAGCTACTGTTGTCTCATTACCAAATCCAAACATCGAGCAGCCGATGGGCTGACCTAAATTTACAGGAAATTCCAAACGGAGCTTGTTTTTGCTTTTTGCTCATGGTTCCAAATAAAGTTAAATTATTTGATTTTAGGCTAACTGCAAGCTCTATACTGATGAATAAGTTTTCCGTGGTTATATTTCTTTTGGTGCATTTATATGTTGAGAAAGTCTTTCTACAACTGCTTTTGCACTGTTATCTATTTAGAAGGGCATATCTGATTGTTTACCCACCTACACTTCTAAGTGGCTGGTACAAAATAATTTTGCTTCATGGAATATTGCGACAATTTTAATTCCATAACTGTTTTGTCTAAAGCTGCATTTTCCACGAAATGCTTCAAGTTTTTCATCTATTGTAACGCATGAATAATGAGAATAGCATTGTTTCTGATTTTAATTGAACTTATCCATCAGTTCTCTCAATGAAGCCAATTTGTCTAGCTGAATCCATTCTTGCCTAGTTCGAATATCATCAAATCCGATACATCTGACAAGGAATTGAAGTCTCGTTTTATTCATAATAAGTCGAAAGGCTTTAATGGTGCTGCCGTCAGTTCATAAAAAATCTTTCAGGTTCATATGATTGGCCTTTCTTACTCCAGCGAGGTAGAGAATATCATAGCACCTTTATTTCAGAAATTTTTGTAGGTTTTGCGTTCCTCTCCCTTTTAAAATTAGATGACTCATTTTCAATTTTTATTTTTGTATAGTTGTTTATAGCGAACAGCATTTCTTGATCAAATAAGCATTTCCAGATACCATGCGGAGTTTTTCCAGTTTTTACATCTTGTTACTCCCGGTAATTGTAGAATAATAGCACTACGCGTTTTGACGTTTTTCAGTGGACAATGCTGCTTTTTTCATTTTGTTATATTGTCTTTTCCTACGAAATATGGATCACGCTGGTGTGTATTAGAGTAATAATTCTCTAAATTTTCATCAAACTCCTGCTCGCTGTCACTATCCTCTGATCTTTCCTCAATGTTGTCAACTTCACCTTGTTCATCGTCGTTATCATTAGATCTACCATAATTTTCATTGTCACTTATAGGACTAATGATTTGGATCGAGTGCCGAATGTTGATAGACGTTGATTAATCTCAATAAATGTATTTATTAGCTATTGTTTTTAAAATGATTAATGCCACTTGTAAAAACTGACTACTGAGCATGCACAACTGGATCGATTACCTATTTCAAGAAATAAGTTTCAAACAGATTCGCAGTTCATGTCTAACTCAAACGATATAATTAGCAAGAAAATACCAGATGTTCTTTATATTTCAGAAAATTGTTTATTTTTATAAATAAATTCAGACGTGATTGCAAAACTTAACAATAAAATAATAAAAAATATTAAAAATGTGATAAAAGACAAACTTATTGTAAACCTTTTAAAATAGGTTTTTAGCACTTATACCTCCACCTATAAGCAAGATTAAAATAATACTATACATTTATTGAAATTTGCAAATACTGCTATAAATATGCAGATAATATATAGCAAATATAGAACTATATATTCCATATTATACATTGTAATGATTTAAGTGAGGGACAGAAATTTACGATCGTTGTCTCATCATCTTTGCTATTTGTCGTGGTTGTAGATGAATGGCCCAGAAAAAATTCCGCCCTACGGTGAGTAAACTCGGAAAACAATGTACCATTATAAAATACCTGTTACAAATATTTAAAACATAAAATGTACACAGTTATGGTATAATTAGTAACTAGAATTCCCAAAATGAGAGATCGCTGAAACTAACTTTCCTTTCTACCTGATAATGCGAACTGATAACTACTTAAGTCATTAACAAAGGTTATGCGGTAACAGAAAAATTAACTGAAAATTCTACGTGATCATTTCTATTGCGTTCTTTGAGATAGTAGGATCAAGAATTATTGATTTAAAAGTGAAAAATGTCGAGGCCACATAATTATGGATAATAACACAATAATTAAGGAAGCCGAACATCTGTGTAAACCGAGTGTTGCAGCGACAGAAGTGAAGCAGTGTGTCTTCAATGCTCGAAAAAGAGCTAGGGAAAGCAAGTTATTTGACAATGTCAAAAATATATCAAGATGAATTTCAAAGATTATATAGTCAAGGACTGGATTTCGTTTGCCAGCAACAAAGCTAGGGAGATTTTGGTTAACAGTAAGGACACTGTATTGATGGATGGAACATTCAAAAGCTGCAGTAAGAAATTTAGTCAAATATATACCGTTCATATCGATATTGGTAGTATATCAGAGGAGACAAATACAATTCCATTGATATTTGCGTTACTTCCTAACAAAACCAAAGAGACATACGATATGTTATTTTCATCAATGATGGAGAAACTATCAAATTGGAAACTATGTCTTATAAAACTGGATTTTGAACAGGCAGTGATTGGTGCATTAGAAAATTATTTTCCCGAAGCCAAAATTTCTGGTTGTAATTTTCATTTCAATCAATGTATATGGAAAAATGTTCAAAATATTGGACTTGTTTCTGAATACACTGACAACGAAGAGATACGTTTACACATAAGAATGTGTGCTGCGTTAGCGTATCTACCCATGTTGATATCGATGGTGGCTGGTTATGCATAGTTTTATGACTACTTTGATTAACAATTGTCAACAATGGTTAGAAAATACTCACATTACTAAGAAAATGTGGAATTGCCATGATCAAAGACATCGCAGTAATAAGACCATATCCCAATGTATTCCAATTAGTGAAGTGCCTGGTTAAAAAAGCAGAATATTGTGATCACCTTTATGATCGAATTACTTTCAATCTAGTAGGAAAGCGGCGCAAGAAAACATATATAAATCTCGATGAAAGAATATCCAAAACTTTACAGAAATATAAGGATATAAAGGACTTAAGGTTGTGTTTAAAGACATTGGCATATATCCAGAAGCTGCAATAAATAGACAATTTTTAATTCCCAAGAATTTTTTGTATTTTACTGTATAAAATGTTTGAAAAAAAAACCAAAAAAAAAATAAAAAAAAACTAATTAAAAAAAAAACAAAAAAAAAATTAAAAAATATAAAAAAACATCTTCTAAACATGCCAATGTTTATATTATGTATAAACTATGACAGTCCTAAGCTTGAATGAAAGTGTGAAGGGAATATGGTTTATTTTTATTTTTTAAAACTAATTTTACTAGCCTAACCCTTACCTGATCGTTATGGTAGAATAAAATTAAATATCGATTACAAGAGAGCGCAAAACGAGCGATATAAGAAAATAATTAGCTATACTATACATCTTTATTAAGAAAGTGTTACAGCGCAAACCGGCCGATTTCAGGTAAGGGCGCAAAACGGTCGAGCGCATATTGGCCGACACCCACCAAGGTTGCTTTCATAACATGGTCGGCCCAATTCAGACTTTCTGACTTCATTATTTTTTATTATCTGGACATGCAAGTTTGACATGCACATTGTTACTGTAGATCTTCT